CAAGATAAAAACCACGTCCGTCAAAATTGATGTAGGACTGTGTTTCCTTCCACGATTGTACGGCTATCTATAACAATTCGCTATCTGTAATTATTTTTCGTCATGCACGAGTTAAAAACTTCGTTACAATACGATGATATTTCGCGCAGATAATACGTTAAACAATCAAATTGAAATAGTCAGGGATAAATATCGAATCATTGCGTATATTTTTACATTTCTCTAAAAATTTATTATACTATATTGTACGTATTTAAATTTTAATTTAGATTAATTCGTCGCATTTGAAAATCTTTCTGTTATGTGATACATATTAGTATCATTAATAGATATATTTTAAAGTTACATTTTCATTTTTTTTCTCTCTCATTTCATCGTTAATCTACTGTAGAATTTTGTACATGTCAAGTTTGATACTTCATTAAAAAAATACAAAGCAATTAGACATTTTTATGATAACTCGGTTTACTAAAGAATCACCTTAATATATTATATTATTATATAATATTTTTATTCTATATATTAGATCTTATTAATTTATAATATTTTTTTCTATATCAAATTTTTATCTTCTAATTTACATTCTTTTCTATTTTTGAAAGTGAAATTGTTAAATGGGAACATATTAGAAAAAAAATCCTATTTTTGTAGCTCTCTCGTGTAATTTATTTCGAGAATTTCCTGTTCTTTTCCGTGTGTTCAATGGTACGAAATGACGCATGCAGATCGCGAAATGTGAGTGCATGTCGAATCATTGAGCAAGCGCATCCTCGAAGCTCGGCGATCGAGACAAATCGTTCAAACCGGACCTAGTTCCTTTCTTTCCACGCGCGCATTAAGAATTAAAGCTTCCGTGCTTGTAGTTACCTAACGATTGTGATTTATTATTCAAACTGTCCCTTTCCTTGGCCAATCATCATCGCAAATTCCCTGTGACGAGTGATCGCCCGCTCGTTTCCGCCTTCCTATCGGAAAGGCCATTTGCAATCTGTCGAAACCGAGATGTAATTGATTGCCGGCAAGAATGCCGTCCTCGTTTCACAGGCGCGTTGTATGCATCGTGGATATTATGCACACACAGATTAAAACGCGATAAGAGAGCCTTTTATCAGTAACAAGTTTAGAGCTCTTTATCATATATTAAATTATATAAAAATGTTAGTAGTGCTAATAAATAATTATATTAGTGAAATATAAGTGTGATTGACATAAATTATTGATATCTTTTTTCAGTCACATTTTTTCAAAGATCATTTGTTTTTATAATATAATTGATATACAATATATTAAAAAAATTCATATTCTTGCATGTATCAAACTATACTTCTGCATGGACTTAAATGTTGATAACATTTTTGCGATTTATTAAATCGCGTACTAGTACTTCTATTTCAAGAGATAAGGTAGTCTAACAAATTTCAAAGACACATAAAGTTCGCATTACTGGTTCTTGATTGCCACCGTTGTTTGCCCATAATGCTCTATGCCCTGGGGACCTTGAATTAAAGACTTACGAGTAATCGCGCTCGCCGACATCTCGTCTTTCCGCTGATTTTGGCATTCCTTATCATGCGTATTCTGGCTAGTTCACGATGCGTTAACGAATATCGTATAAGTACGAGAATCGGACGAGTACATATACGTATATATACGTTCCATATATTGCGTGTTATACAGTCTATTCGGACGCGAGATAACCGCTCACGTGTTCTCTTCGCTCTTAGTCGACGAAGGCTGTTTCCGCACGGTTTATAGAGATTTCGAAAGCGCTGAACTTTATCGGTGGCCGAGAATCGCAGTCGGAATTCGAAGAGAGAGAATACGGAGCTCGTTCAACACTCTCTCTCTTACCTTATGTAAGATCGACAAAGTGATCTTTATCTTAAAACTCAGTCGAGCAATCTTGATAGAACATCTCCTTCTCTAAAGAACATCTAGTTACATTATGAATACAAATGGTAAATTTAATTAAACGCTAATCGACTGTGAAGAGCTCTGGTTGTACTCTGCATATACAATTCTAATTAATATCAGGAGGATGGCGATGGTGTTTCTCGACGTTGAATACAATATTTTATCTGATTTTCAGCTTTTTTAGTTTTTATTAGAGTCTTAAAACTTTCTAGGTTTTAATAAATTAAAATTTTAGATTTTATTCAATACAAGAAGATTTACATAGAGATTTTTTTAAACACACTATTGCCTTAAATATCTCTGCAAAAGATTCGCACTTAAATAAGATAATTATACATTATAGTAAAATTATTTCACAAATAGATAACATTGCTTTTTTTTAAATATTTCGATTCAAATTGTTCCTTCTATCACGACGAGTTGCAATTGCTTTTTAAAACGTTACAATTTTACATATCTGTCAGCGTAATCCCTCGCAAAAGCTCGGATGGAAAAATCAGAACGGTGGCGCCGAAAATGTCTCCATCTTCGAAGCATAGCACCGATAAAGACGGGTAGATGATGGGGTTATAAACTCCCGCCGTATAGTCCGCGATTGCACGACTGAAATGGCTGATCGTCTCATCGAAGGGGTAGTCTGTCCCTCGAGCGCGAGTCTCTTACGCGGGGGTTAAAGGCGAAAGGAGTCTGGCGCTGGCGATCGTAAAAGCATCCCGTCGGCGCGATACCCCCGACAGCTTCTCCAACTTGTCGATAAATACTTGCGTCTTTCCGGGTATTCAGAAGTCCGGCGAGACGAACGGTCAAGTTTTGAAAAGAGTGTTGGACAATAAAGGCGAGCACTAAGCCGTGATAAAAATAACGAGGAGCTTAGATTTATATTGCGGAACTCATTTGTGACCAACTAATCCGATGAGCTTATCAAAACCGGAAACCGGCACGGTGAAACAAAGGGAAGGATTCGTGCCGGTCTGTTAAGCTTTATTCTATCTGTTATATGGTCATTCGGACTGCAGTATTATATCGGATCAACAACACAAGCGTAACTTATATGCTACATACCATCCTGGATGGATGTGGGTCTCTTTTTTCGCAGATTGATATTGAAAGGGACATGCTGTGGGTGGAAGCAACGAACGCGTCATGAAGGCGAGCTATTTCTTTCTAGCAGTAAAGAATACATCGCTTACATTTCCACGTTATAAATTTTTGGATGTTAAAGCGTCCGGTGCACATGTCAGACGTCCAAGTAAATTGAACGTAACAGCTGGATGATAAATATCTCACAATTTTATGACTTGCCAAAATGTCATAAAGCATTATAAAAATAAAATATTCATAAATAGATCTTATAGATATATGTATATAGATACAAATACAACAAAACTTTTTTTTATCAAAAAAATCCTAATAAAAAAGATATATTTACGATTTGGCAAAAAATCTTTGTGTTCGATGATGTCGATATCGTCCGAGAAAATAGATTTTTATGATTATTTCTGTCCATGTTTAAAGGCTAACAATCTGCGACTCTGTTTTAGAAGGGCGACTTAACGAAACGATAAAACGTCCGCGTCGTGGTGCGAGTTTAAGAAACTTCTTCGAAGTACTTCGCGTCAACTTCCGCCTGTCTCGTTCGCGATATAACGGCCGTTTTAAAGAAGCCATTTTTATTTATCACGCTGTCTTCTGCGTGTATGTATTTCGTCTGAAAGCATCCTTCGACGCGCGCTCGTCTCGCCGATTCACGCATCGGGAGATGAAGACGAAAGGAAATTGTTATCGCTTCGCGACACGAGTATTCTCGCATTAGAGTAGAAATTTTCCGAAATTTTTCGAAAGATCCGGCTACTAGCTGATTCAATTTGCCTAATGAAGAAGGCAGGAGAGACAACGGAGAACTATATAAAGCGCAACTCTATGATTCACTTCTCATGAATTGATTTTTTCGTGTCCTGCATTCTGGTATTTCTTAAAGAAACTATCGTACGCGAATAGTACGATAGTATATGGATCTCGCTGCGAAAGATAGAGACTGCAATATAATATATATTAAACAAGACAGTTCTCGCATATAATTTATGCAGAACAGCATTTATAAGTTTGCAATGGCTTAGGAAAAAATTCGGACGATCTTAATCGATTTACAAATGTATTATTGTTCCAATATTGTTTTATAGCATTGCTTTTCTATCATTCTGCAACACAGAGACTATTCGACAATTATATTTTAATAATTTTCATTTGTAAAATAATGTAAGATAACGAAATCAATTACTTAGTTTACGATAAAAAATTGTTTTAACAATTTTGGTTGTTTTTAAATTTACCTGCTGAAATTGCTGTTACGTCATAATTTTAAGAAAAATGATGCCAAGAAAGGAAAAAAATGACAATTGTGAAAGTTTTTATAACATTAAGCATCGGTAATAAAGTTTTTTTCTAAATTTCGTTAATGCCACACGAAAGTATCAACTTTTAGCTTAACAAATGCATTTTGTCTCGTGTCGATATGATTTTTCATTTTCGAAATATAGTAATTTTAAAATAAATCTTTTCCCATGTAATACGAAGAAAAGGCACTTTATTTCATTTTAATGCTATGGAAAATAATTAATTATGTGAAAACTAAACTTTTTGTACTTATATAATAGTATGATCATATCCTACTAAATAAAAAAGCGATGAAATTGCAATATGACTATTTTTACATTGTTACATCTCGAAAATGAAAAATCATATTGAAACGAAACAAAATACATTTTAAAGCTAAAAATTACTTTCACGTGGCATTAATGAAATTTAGAAAAAAATTTGCTACTAATGCTCAACGTTACGAAAATCTTCAAAAGTTGTCATTGTCGTTATTTTACGTCATTTTTCTCAAAATTGTAACGTGAAACTTAGGAAATGGATTCGTATTCAGCACTTAAAATACGGGAAATAATTACGTTCGTTCACAGGCAATAATACCAAAATGTAAATTAGCAGACTAGTAAATTATATTTAATAACAAGACTTATTTTCCCTCTTTCTCTCTTGTTGTTATTTTATTGTACAAATCATGTTATTCTTTGTGTTCACAGAATTCTATACGTCACAACTTGTCGCTGCACAGTAGGTTCATGCGGGTACAGAACGAAGGAACCGGCAAAAGTTCCTGGTGGATGATCAATCGCGACGCCAAGCCGGGTAAATCCGCCCGTCGCAGGTAAGTCCAGATTGCTGGCAATTTGCCTTTCTTTCCGTTTTTTATTTCTCTTGACCTCGAACTGTCAAGAGTACCGTGTGTTTTGTATTTGTGGCGCAGAGCTACTACTATGGAGAGCACTGGCAGTCTAGAGAAACGACGTGGCCGCTCGAAGAAGATCGCCGAGGCTCTGAGGAACGGCGGACTGCTGGCCGAGCCCACGTCCAGTCCCAGTAGCAGCGTCGGAGAAGGTCTGGACCTGTTTCCGGATAGTCCCCTGCCACCTGCCAGCGGATTCCAGCTTTCCTCTGACTTCCGGTACGATAGAGCTTTAATATTTTCGTTTGAAAAAATAAATGACGGCGCGAGAGCGGCCGTGCTCCTTACGTGAGAGCCGGCGAGTTGCGGCGGACCGAGATTATCGGATAAAATTTACAAAACATGAAGATTTAAAGTCGAAAAACTGTTTCAAATTATGTTTGTATGTCCGTTTTTAATGGAATGTCATAACAGTTGATATGAATTGAGTAATATCAAAACTGACCAAATCGATCTCTTTTTAATTTCGAGAGAATTTGAAGTTTGCAAGTATTAGTTACAGAGGAACAGAATAGAGTGGATTTAATTGTTTGGCAATATATGATCAAACGTATAGTATAGTTAGATACTATATACATTATATGTGTGCGAATGCATATATTTGTATTATAAAAAGATCTTTATTATATATATATATATGCAAAAAAAAAATTAGAAAGATATTAATTATAAATCTCAAGAAGAAACTTAAAGCGTCTTCTTCAGATTAAGTAATTAATTATTTATATTATTCAAGTCCTCGCGCCTCGAGTAACGCTTCCTCCTGTGGCCGATTGAGTCCTATCCCAGCAGTTCTCGGGGAACCAGATTGGACACCGACCTATGCGTCTTCTTATAGTCCGGATCAACAATTAGGTACATATCTAACGATAATCTCACCTTCTCTTTTTTTTTACCTTTCTTTGCTTTCTTGATAATTTTAGGATTTGTCTTTAATATATATTATAAAAAATTAGATTTCATCTATCTCACATATATCTGATAAGACGATTAATACGTGGTGCATCGTATTTGATAGCAGATACGATCCTAGCAGGCAACCTGGCCGAGACAATGAAACTAGAACCTTACCAAATATACCAGACATCACCGCCGGCCGGTCACCAACAGCAAACGGGCCCGCCGCCACCTTACTACGAAGCGCAGTATCAGAGGAATAACGGCCTACGCACTTCGTCATCCGCATCTTATGGCCTGCCACCTACTCCGCAATCGGCCAATCAGCAACGATGTCCGATTCACGGTCTGCAGCCGTGCGCCTGTCAGATGGTGAGTCCGAAATTTTTGGCGGATTTTTCGCGCGAGGATACCACAACTCTCCACAAAGGAGGACGTCAGCGTTTTTATGTTGCGCATGTTCGGCCTGGCAATGTTGCAAAATCAATAAGGATCGCGATGTATGTTTTACACAAATACATACACAAACGTACAAAGCGTCTCTATAGCTTCTATATGTGGCTTACAGAGAAAGACAATGACGTTAATCATAACGGCCGAAAAGATGAATCAATATCATTGCACTTTTCAAAATTAATTATTTCTTAAGATCAATTATGACCTAATCGGAAAATTATTATCAAAGGAGTCGAGGAATCTTTTCTTTATGAAAACTGAGCTCGTTATTTTTCACGAGGCCAATATTTTCACAGCAATATTTTTGTTGTCTTGTGTGAAAAGATTTGCGATGGTGCGATGGAAGCTTATTTACATTTTATTATTGAAACTGGCTTAAAAAAGCACCATACGCTTATGGAATTGTATTGGAACGTATTTTCAATAACGGTACAAATGCAAACACATTCGAGCTAAATTAAGAACAACCTGCTTAATTGTTCAATTCACAAGATTAAATTTGCTAAGATTAAATTATACTAAAATTTACTTCTATTTATATTAATCATTTTATTACGCGCGCTACGCGATTATATTCGTTGTATCTTTATTAACAAAGTTCATATATTTATCCTAGAATAGATTAAAATATGAAATCTTCAATTTTCCTGGATTCGTTACGTTTTTAATAAAATTCCAGAGAAATATAAAGAATAAGACGACTAGTATAGAAAACTAATATTTGTACAAGGAAGAAGGTAAATTGTACTATATTTCACAATATAGTTTTAGAAATATAGTTATAGAAATATATTATATTTATATTTTATTTATAAATCATTATTAATCAATAATATTTGTATTTATGTAACAAGTTATATAACAAATTGTACACAAATACAGATTGTTGCGATCACGCTTTTGTCTTCATCGCACTTTCTTTTTAAATTCGATAATTAGAACTTGAGTCCCGGCATGTCACCGTCCGGTATGTCACCGTCGTATCAACAGAGCGAGCCCAGTCCTACGGCACTGAGCAGCAATCAACAGCAAACGCTGCAATACATGATTCAGACGCAACAGCGTCAACAGCAACAACAGCAGCAGCAACAGCAACAACAACAACCGCCACATCAGCCACAGCATCAGCCAGCACAAACTGGACCAGCTGGTCCCAGCCCACCTAACACGCCGACACCCTGTCCCGCCACAGCCAGCACCATGATGGGCCAGCTGATGGGTGCGCTCAATCATTCCGCCCTCGATGACCTTAACATCAACATCGAGGCAATGCACGGCGGGTTCGACTGCAATGTTGAGGAAGTAAGTCTGATAATGCTCCGTCCGTTACTACATAAAAAATATGTATTAATATGATATTGTATTAACAGCATTATTTTAATTGAAAAATAATCTTGTCAATTCAATAACAGTATTAATGAAACAAATAAAATTTTTTTATTACGAGAGTATTTGTTTCATCAATCGTTGATTGAATTAACAAAATTTATTTATTTACAATTATATATATATAATACAAAACAATTACAATTAAAATAATGCTGTTGATGTAACTTTTTTTTTAATATAATGCCGTCACTAATAAATTTTTAAGAATTATTATCAAATTGAGGAAATCTTTTTTTTCGCACCACGAAAATTCTGAGAGCCTAAATATTAAATATAAAATTTTTTAATAAAAAATAAAATATAAAGAGCTTTTCAGTCGATCTTTGACTGTTACGTAAAATCTGTATATTTCGATCGTCACGTAAAGTATTGTGTTAATCCTTATCTGGAAGATTTATTTTATTTACCAAATCTATATAGTTAACATTATTAATTTCTAAGAAATTATAAGCTCCTCTGTATGTATAACTATATATTTACTTTACATATAGTGAAGACAAAAATTTCGTAGCTACTGTTAGATAATAATTTTAGGAAATAGTTTCAGTTTAAATTAAAGAATTTAATAAACTCATGTTACCGGATAAGGATTGCTACAAGAGAGAGAATATTGCTTCGTAAAATATACGTATAAACATGCAATTCGATATGTAAATTGCAGGTAATTAGGCATGAATTGTCGATGGGTGGCACGCTGGATTTTAACTTCCAGCAGGGAGTGATGGGCACCGTGCAGGTCAGTGACGGCAACGTCGTTGGGCAGAATGGCGGAGTCGTTTCCCAGAACACAGGCGTCGTCATCGGCACAACGACCGGCAACGCGCCGGGCGTCTACGTAAGCACGAATGCGGCAACCCCCGCCGCTACCCCTTCGTGGGTTCACTAGCAGTTAACCCCCCTGCCCTCGACACCCCCGTCGTCCTTGCCGATGTCGATGTTGTCCGACGGATCGCTGGATAACTTCTGTGGGACGACCGAAGGGCAGTTTATCGGTGAGTTTCTTCAGTTTGAATTTCTTGATTTTCAAGTTGACGCTTATAATCACAGTTATCATATATCAAAGCGAATTATCAATAGATTAAACAGTGCAATCATTGGTCATTCGTATTTCGACGCGGCGAAAAGTTTGTGCTTATTTTTTAGGAAAAAATTAAAAAAAAATTATAGATTTGACTGTATTCGGTGATAATAGATTTAAGTAGAATTTAATTTATACCTACTCCACGTAAGATCATCTATGTAAGATTTTCTAAAAGTATCACTTGTTTTATATTTATCACTTGTTTATCTCTGAAGCTAACGATGAAAAAGAATTCGCTATTACGATATATTTAATAATTATTTCACACACATTTAGACTAAACGACGATCAATAATAACTTCATCATATAATTCATTCTACTTTTGTCAACTTTTGTAAACAAAAGAAGTCGGATTAATTTCTAGATTCTAGGCAATAGCTTCACTTAAATGCATTACGTAATCGTGAAATAAAGGAAAGACGTAAATCTATGTCATCCATCTGTTAGATGTTAGAGTCCGCGAATCGATATATCATTCTCGCGTGGCTGATTAATCATCCGGAAGTTCGCGCAGGATCTTTCGCGAACTTTCTCGCACGTCGCGTTTTCGATCATGGAACTATGAAGGGAGGAAGATATCCGGCGGATGCAAGAGGGAATGGAGAGCAGAGAGAGAGCAGGTCATTGATTGCCCCCTCGTGCACGCAAAATAATATTTGCATACTCGTGTCATAACAGTGCTCAGCCGTATGGTATTTAATAAATCGCTTCGACGTTTTGTGCCTCCGTCCCCCGATCCTCTCGGTCTCCCGTACCCCCGCCTTCCGCCATTTCGTACGTGCCGACACATTCATATAGCGGCAACCCGTGTTCCGACGATGTTTTGTGCGAAATCGCTATTGACTTGGACGCGATAACAATTACATCGCCGCGGGCCGCGAATTTTATGGAAAGCCTTAACACAATATTGCTGATCGCGATCACACGAAAACAGTCGCATTTTGTTTGACGAAGAAGCGGAGCGTCGAACAATTATGCGTTCGCGAAAAAACACTCGCGCAGGGCCTCGATTTTCTCTCGAGACCCGAATATTGTTACATGTTTAGCGATAAACGCGAGTTCTCTATTTCCATGACTTACTTGTGCCCGAATGTAAATTTTATAATAGATAAGAAACAATGTATCTAATTGATGGATCAGTCCATAGCCCGATTACTGAATAGTGTATTGTTGTGTTGATAATATAGTTAATAGACAATACTTCTGAAACAAAGAGTAGTCTAATTCTTAGTATTTAGAAGAAGGTTAGAAGATATATGTTACACACAATCTGTATAGAAGTGTAATCGGAAAATTGATTTTTTGGAAATAAAATTGATAGATGAAAATACATATCAAAAGTGTACCTGTATTTTTATAATACCTACAATTTATACATTAGAAAAAAAAATTTTAATCAAGTCGAAGTACAATTTACGAATGGCTCGACTGTTCACACGCTTACGAGACGATAATCCCTTCTACATCATTTCCTAAAGTTATATCTTAAATATTCACGTCGCTTTGCAGCGATCTTGGACAATTTACATGAAATTACGTTGTATAGTAATCGCATCCGAATTTTGCGATCTGTCTCTTTCTGCAACCGAGTGCTCTGGCGTGCATAAAACTTGCGATAAAAATTAAAATATTTTTTTTATGTTTTTTACCGATTTCCTTTTTCAAGCTTTGCTCTCTCTCTCTCTCTCTCTCTCTCTCTCTCTCTCTCTTTCTCTCTCTTTCTTTCAATAACGGAAAAAGGGGAAGAAGATGGTATAGAAATGTAACGTGAATTCTCAGAGAAAATAATTTTTGCTACTAGTGTGACGCAATAAAGCGACTAAAATAACTCCTACTTCGCTGCCTTTTAATCTTGCAGTGCCATGTAATTATATCTTTATCCTATCATTTCATCGTTGTCCTCGTCGTGATCGTTATTGTCGTTGTCACACTAATGGAGATAAAAATGCTATATGAATGCACGGATAAACGATCGACGATATATTAATCATACGCTGATAATCGCGTTCTAGCGTGTGCTTTCCGGCGGTCAATTGCAACTGGCTGGATATTGGCTTCCTCTTGCAATCTGCGCAGTTGCGTGATCGACGTAATAATGTTTTTCAAGTGTTACAAAAAGAAACGTCGAGAATCGTAATCGTGAATGAATTCACACATGATTCATTCACAAATATGTGTAACGATTCGCAAATCGCTGCGACATTATATTCATCTCTCTTTAACAATGACGTAAAAAAATATAAAATTAAATATATATAATTAAGGATTAACAAGAAAAAAATGAAGGTAAAAATTCTCTCTCTCTCTCTCTCTCTCTCTCTCTCTCTCCCTCTCTCTCTAAAATATAATAGGTCTAAATGGAAGAAGTCGATAAAATTAGTAAAACAGAATATTCGTATAGGATTGAATGCAAGCGCATTCATTCACACTCATACTTTCACTGATACTTTCATACGATCGTCAACGATGATCCCGTTTTCGTCGATTTTTCTTGATCTTGTATATCGTCATTCGGCTGGAAGCAAAGCGCAAAGCGGCAAGTAGGCAAGCAGACAGCGAGAAAAAATGACGTGAGCGTTTGGCCACACTAACGGCTCATTTTTTTCCCCGGACAACCTCTTTTGGCGATTGCACTCACATGACAGCCTACTTTGTTGTCCCTACGGGCGCGGATATTATTTACACGGCGGAATATCGGCCCGAGAGAGATATTAGCTTTCAGAAAAATATTTTTCAGAGCGGCGAACGCGCGCGAGCGGCGAAAAAATACCGCCCCCGGGCTTACGCCCCGGTATATTAACGCCTCCGGCCGTTCCAGTAGTTTGTTGTGCGTATGAAACCGGTATGCACGCCGATCTCCGTTAGTTCCGAGGGGGATCAATGTCTTTTTGTTTCCTCTCTCTTCTTTCCCTGCTCTCTCTCTCTCTCTCTCTCTCTCTCTTTTTTGTCAAACTGTATATCCATTTACCGTCTGGCGGAAAGGGTATAAATTCGAGGGTTTGGATAAAACCGATACCGCCGCAACGAGCGAAGCGCAACGCGACGCGTAAGAAACGCGCTCCGAGGCACGGACGTTTCAACGCGGTGGTGGTGCTGCCGTGACGGTGACAGGAAAAATTCTGCAGTAATTCTTTGTACAGCATGGAAAAATTTTTCCTATCGCTTGAGAAAATATTTTCAATCATTTTTACGGGGTAAAATTCCACCTAAGGCGATAGCAGAAATAAATTTATTGAGCTTGAAGTCTAGGATTCGATCGGTAATAATTAGTATCTCGTCCTAAAACGTATTTGTTTTATATGTATAATCATGTTAATCCTATCTAATTGTAAATCAAGAGTAGATAAAAATTTCTATTCTATTTTCTATATCTAACACAATGACGAAACGCCATTTCTTCTCAAACAACGGATAACGAGAAGAAGGTTGATAATGTGATAATCCGAGAATCGCTCCGTTTTATCGAGCGCAACGATAAAGGAATAAGGAGAGTCCGGCCTTATCTCGTCATCGCTCTGTAAAACTACTCGCGAGAGTAGTCTCGGCCATGGAGCGGAAACTGCGAAACTACGAGAAGCGTCCCTCATTAAACGAGAGCGCGCTCGGTGAAACTTTTGTCGTCCGAAATAACAATGGAGTCTCTCGAGCGCCGGATTATTTCGAGATCACACGGTACATGACTCTAATTGAACGACTTCCGGTCGGCGTCGCGCTAATGGAGAACAGATTTTCGGATCCGTGCTGCTCGTAAACTCGCGGTCGAAACTCTAAACTCGCTCGCCCCCGATCAGTTCCTTCGCGAAAACTTCCAAGTTAAAACAAAAAAGCATCAAGAAGAGAGAGAGAGAGAGAGAGAGGGAAAAGAGAGACGCGCGGGAAGGAGGCAGCCAAAAGGGGCGAAGAATAGGAACAAAGTGCGCAGATAGGGGGAAGACTAAGGGATGCAACGATAGATCGAGGTAGAGAGCATGTAGGTTGCGGAATGAGAGAGGACGGGTCGCTCGCCTGACAAGGTTGGGTGGCAAGGGAAGAAGTCTTTTCTTTCTCCTGTCCCCTTCACCCCTGTCCTTTCTCTTCTCTCCTCCACCAACTTTATAATTCTTGCGACGTTTTTGGGGAATGAGATTGTCGGTGGCAGGGGCGAATGGAGGCGGCCAGGGGGTGGCCGGGCTTTAAGGTAGTCCACTGGCGCCAGTGACGTCTGCCGAATAGCTGCTGACTCCCAGACTCCTGCAGTTTCGGCTAAGTGGTTCCCTTTTGCCCCACTTCAGCGTTTCTAAGCGCACACCTTCTTCCTCCATACCCGGGAACGCACCTATCGACGATAAAGGCTGATGAATGCTCTTCTATCGATCGCGGAGAAAACTATAGGACGGTTTAGGACATCAAATACATCAAAACTTTCTATTAAAAAGATTTCAGCCGTGTAGGTCAAGGTTTAGTCGTTCGTGACGAAAGATTGCTGTTTTTGTACGTGAATAAGAACAATTTTTATCTTAAAGGAATCCGGAAATGATGAACATTAAACTTACTTTATTTAAGCGTTTTTCATTGTTAAAATGAGAAACTTGTAGTATTACAAAAAGATAAGTATAATCGTTTCCTCTATTTTAATATGCATTTTTTCAATACACATTTTTTCATAGTTAAAAAAGATACTATCAATAAGTAATAAAGGAAATTTAATGTTGAGCAATTTGAGAAATTGAATTTTCGAAGTGATCGATGTTATATGTCGATATTTTTACATACATCTAAAAATATATCAAGTTATCGAAAAATACAGAAAAATTGTAATTAGATCTGTTAAAAAACTTGATAATTTATTAACAAAAATACGTTGTGTTAAAAATAGTTTAACATAATACAATTTAATATACATACATTGTAGAACGTATAGAAGTAATTAG